TCTTTTTTTTTTTTTTTTTTAAATTTTTTTTTTTTCAACGTTTTTATTTATTTTTGGGACAGAGAGAGACAGAGCATGAACGGGGGAGGGGCAGAGAGAGAGGGAGACACAGAATCGGAAACAGGCTCCAGGCTCCGAGCCATCAGCCCAGAGCCTGACGCGGGGCTCGAACTCACAGACTGCGAGATCGTGACCTGGCTGAAGTCGGACGCTCAACCGACTGCGCCACCCAGGCGCCCCTTAAAAATTCTTTAGGTCAGGGCGCCTGGGTGGCTCAGTCCGTTAAGCGGCCGACTTCGGCTCAGGTCATGATCTCGCGGTCCGTGAGTTCAAGCCCCGCGTCGGGCTCTGTGCTGACAGCTCAGAGCCCGGAGCCTGTTTCAGATTCTGTGTCTCCCTCCCTCTGCCCCTCCCCCGTTCATGCTCTGTCTCTCTCTGTCTCAAAAATAAATAAACGTTAAAAAAAAAAAATTCTTTAGGTCAATCAGAATGCAGTTTTAGATAAAAATGTAAAACATTTTCTAGTCATAGATATTTCAATGCTAACCTTTTTTTGTTTGCTGTATTTCTATCTCCCCCCCCCTTTTTTTTGACTCTAAGTGAATATTTCGAGTTTAATTTGACCAGAGATGCACTCTCATTAGTGGTGTTCACATTTGTCTCTCATTCACATGGTTGTCTCTCGTGTTGTACGGAGGGTGATGGTGTGGCAGCCAAATGAAATCCAAGTATAGGATGTATATAGTCTGACAGCTTTATCATCCTAGGAATGACCAAACCAGTGATTAAATGTTCCAGATGTATAATCATTCTGATAACCAGTTGGTCCTTATTTTAAAATTCTGCTCTGGGGGCGCCTGGGTGGCGCAGTAGGTTAAGCGTCCGACTTCAGCCAGGTCACGATCTCGCGGTCCGCGAGTTCAAGCCCCGCGTCGGGCTCTGGGCTGATGGCTCGGAGCCTGGAGCCTGTTTCCGATTCTGTGTCTCCCTCTCTCTCTGCCCCTTCCCCGTTCATGCTCTGTCTCTCTCTGTCCCAAAAATAAATAAACGTTCAAAAAAAAAAAAAATTAAAAAAAAAAAAATAAATAAAATTCTGCTCTGGTCTTCTATCAGTGGAAACCCACCCACCCTTGGTAGGTCACAGAAAAATAAGGCAACTGTCTTAATTAGAATAGAAATTAACATAACTTTTACCTTAATGAATATTGAAAACCAATATTGATACAATATTGATGTAGCTAGTTCATGATACAGTATTGATATAACAAGTTAATGCCATATTTTTCTTTTTTAAAAATTATTTATTTATTTTAGGGAGAGTGTGTGAGCAGGGGAGAGGGGCAGAGGGAAGAATCTCAAGCAGCCTCCATTTCATCCTGGCTTAGCATGGAGCCTGACGGGGTAGGGGGGCTTGATCCCAGGATTCAGATCATGACCTGAGCCAAAATCAAGAGTCAGACTCTCAAATAACTGAACCACCCAAGCGCTCCTCCCCCATTTTTATTTTTCTTTACTAAAATAGTGGGAAATATTCTGCACAAGATGACAAACTGTTCTTGATCTATAGTTTAATCAGTTTTCAAAGTTGAGACTTTTGCATCTGTATCTGGGTCCTTGGGCACACTTAAGAGAGGGAGGCAAATGGCCAATTGTGGGTATAAATGCTAGTGAAACTCTAAACCCATTAAACCTTTGAAGAGTTTGACCTATATGCTCAAGTTAATAAATTACATCAAAACCCATCAGTTACTTCACAACACTGTGCAAAGATCAAATTCATTTCTCTGGCATCATCAATATCTTAACTGATACATCCTGGAGGCAAATAATCCTGGAGACAAAGTGTATTGGAGAAAGAAGTTATGCGAAAAGTTTGGGTACTTGGTTTTGTCTTTCTTTCACCCACAATCCCCAGAGCCTGCTCCAACATGGCAGAAATTTGACAAGGCCTTCAAATCTCAGTGCACATAAATGAATGTTTAAAGTAACAACCAAAGTAACAACTGTCATCTTGTCATTCTTAAATGAATCTCAATAGAGAGAACATACAGGTTTCTTAAAAGAAAAAAAATTGAAAGGCAAGAAACCAGAAATATAGCTAAGATCTCCCTAACTGCTTAGCAGTCAGTTGACAGGTTTGCTGCATCATACTTTTAACCTCTCACAATATCAAAATAATGGCCGCTGGATTATAAACTCCTTATATTTATATAGGACTTTTTGTAAACTTTATAGAGATTAAGAACCTGGGGTGGTTATTCCTCCATCTCAAGATGACCTACAACATTTAAAAACTCACTCACTCAAGTTACAGTACCAGCTGCTCTCAATCTGTTTAGATAGAAATTTAATTTTCCATATTCTGAAAATGAATTTTATACTGTTATATATTCTAAACATTTAACAGTTTCATTGGAAGCATCTTGAGGAATCCAGTTTTCCTGTTTATCTTTAAGTAGTTTTCATCAGGACTTAACATGTACTTATACAGTCTCTTCGAATTTCAGTTGGTTATCACTAGATTGTGCATTTAAGCTAGTGAATTATGCTTTATATCCACTCCATTAAAAAAAAAAAAAGGCGCTAAATTAAGAAGCAGTTCCTCGGGTCAGTAATTTTTCAAACTGTGTATGACTAGTGGAGTGATTAAAAATGCAAATTCCTAGGCAATACTTTATGACTCTGAGTAACCATGAGGGAGGGGGTCTTAATTTACTTTTTCAATAAACACCCAACTGTATCTGATGCGATGTGTCTGTAGAACACTTGGAAAGCTGCTTGCATGCTGAAGAAAAAATGACTCAATTTCTATTCCAAATAAATCCTATCAGCGCGTATGGCAGTTTTTGATGAGTAAAGCTAATTAGTCAGTTTTTGTGCTTTACAAATCCTGAAAACCATACAATGAACAAGAAACTCTGCCCAACTTTCAACGTTGTAATTTCTCTTAGACTATCAGGATTAAATCTAAGAGTATTAGAATTGCAACACTCAGAATCCCAAAGTTGAAGTTTAGAGTAAACCATTTCTAAATTAATTTAACCTAGTGTCTTCTGGAGAAAGTTCATAGGACTATGAAGGTCCTTACAGCAAGGTCTTGGTTTAGAAGGCTGCATATTTCCTTGAAAGCAGATTTTAAAAAACAAAACAAGACAGCCTGTACTATGATAAGACCTAAAGAGGAGCCTCAGAAACAGGACCCAAGATTAAACAGTGACAGGTAAATCATTTTCTAGACTTCCGGTGATTCTTGGCAGCAAGAGGTTTGCTTTGGAAGAAACAAAAAAAAATCCTCATCCACAAAGTGACTAATTAATGAAGTGACATAATTATTGCCAAGTAAGAAAACCTAGTATTTCTTGAGATGGGCTATAGCAGCCTGCAGTGTATTTGCTACCAAAAGACAAATGCAAACACGGGGACTTCTTGCTGGGTCGCATCTTTTTCCCAAAGTACAATTTAACCAATTCTCTGGATAATTTGATTAAATAAGACAGGGCCTCTCAACTGGCTTCCTCGGACTTGAATTATGAGGCCTAGATTGGATGAAATTTCATGATATCCAACACCCGAATCAAAACAAGTTATGATTTCTGTGTCTTTCCTAACATAAGAAAGTTGTGGTATCATGGTGATAAACTTGAGTCTGAAACCAAGACGAAAAAATACAGCCATAATTGGCTAAGTGAAAAAAACATTTTTGCCTCAATTACAAGCATTGATCTGTGTATGCTGCATGCCTGACACAGAGGACATTCAATAAATGTTGAACTAAACTCGTTTTTCTGGTCTTGAATTAGCCTCATGGCTATTCTTAATACTTAATTCTGTATATAAAGAAAAAAATCTAATTGTTAATCTTTTAGGGAAGTCTCCTGAATGAGTTTAAGATTTAAAAGAAAAAGAAAACAAGGAAAACAAAGGGAAGCCAACAAATCTGTAAAAGGCAAGAACAGTAACAACGATATGGCCAAAACAAGCACTCATGATTAATACAGGTGAGTCAAATGCTGGGTTATTTCCCTCCTGATTGCTAGAATTATCTCTGAAAAAAAAAAAAAAAAATCACTGAATCTCCTGTTTGAAGAGTTTATAGATAAGTGAAACTATTTCACGGAAATGCTAACCTTAACATAAAATGTGGTCTCTTTCACTTCAAAAAACAAAAACAAAGCAAAGGTAAAATAAGACAAAACAGCTCAGTTTAATTTCAAACGTTAATATATTTTCTATTTTATATTGAACATATGCATCTGTAACCCCTCATTTGCAGCAACTATCACATCCTCATAAAAGGGGCAAAATTTGTAAGATGCCTCTTAAAATAAATATTCTTTTTTATAAAATAATAAAACTTCAAATAAATATTCTTTACACTAAACAATATGTTGAAAAAATTAGAAAATAAAGGTTGAATTTTACTGTAACTGTACAATATACATGAAGTCCAAAGGGAAATCAGAGTCTTACAATAAAGGCTTTTCTGTAAGGCAAAATACAATCTAAAAACATACTGATTGATTCACATTCTTCCGAATGTACAACATATTAGTATAATATTTTGTGACTGTGCCATATAGCATGACACAACGTGTTTTTCACAGTTGCAAATATTATTGTATATACAAAAATATAGCACATTATCTCTGGAGAAAACAATGGGGAAAAAAAAAGTCATCTGCTAATTTACAAATTTTGCAAGTACTATTCACAAACAAAAACTTTGCCTGGGAGTGTCTGTTGTTTTAGCTTATGCAACACGTGGGTCCCCAAGTTCTGTATCCCATACCTTGAGCTCCATTAGCTGAGTTCTAACAAGCGTATCAGTTAAAACGGCACATGGACAAAAAGCATTTCACTGCAAACAGCGAAGGCTATCCCAACCCTCTATTAACAGTGCCAAGATTCTAACTGTTTAGTTGGTTGCATATGCGTTAAAAAAAAAAACAAACAACAAAAAAAGACAATCCTTATTACTGTCATATTCCTGATTAATGGTGCTATGTTGGTTTTTCAAAGTTCCTGGGTGGGACAGTGGGAACTTTGCAGCAAACCGTGTTTGAGTTTTTACAGCGGCATCCAGGCCGGTTAACCCGGTCATAACACCCCTGGCACAATTTAAGGCAACCCTTGGCTGGAAGGTAACACCATAAACAAGGCAAAAAAAGGGACATGACGCCCATGGCAGACCAGCGTGTACAACAGTGAGACTGGCTGCAAGAACACGGGTTGTCCGCACAGTTATCCTCGTCATCATTAGAACAGTGATAGAAGAGACCTTTCACACAGCACACGCAAGTCCCATAGTCAATCACGTTTTGGGCTGAGCAAAGGCACTGCTTGTCGCAGATCCAGTCTGATGGCAGAGGCCTAGGATAGGTGCACTCCTTACACTTGCACTTGCCACAGTCCTCACACCTGTAGGCGTGCAGGCCCAAATCTTCCTTGCTCAGTGGCTTAAGCTCACCTGGCTTGAGCTCCGATTTGGGCTGCACTCGGATTATCCCATCAGCGACGGGTCCCGAGGAGAAAGATGGTCCCAACAGTCTCTGTTCAGAGGAACTGCTGCTGGTACTTGTCCTCGTACTGCTCCGAGACCCCGAACTGACTGTGCTGATGGATCTGGACAAAGAGGCTCGTGCGGAAGAATGGACCTGTGGGTGCTGGAGCCTGGGGGGCTGGCGGTGCTCGGGCAGACCATGGAGCCTCTCGTGTTTGTGCTGAGTGGAGGGGCGAGGAGCAGGCTTGAGCCCAGGTCTCGGGACCACAGTAGGCCCCTCTGTGTACTCATTGGTGTTTCGGATGGCTCTGATCTGATCCAGAGACAACACGTGTACCTGCTGGGTGAGGGCATCTCTGGGGTCGGGTTCCCCGCGCTGCCTGCCACCGTCACGGGGTGTCTGCAGCAAGGACTGCGACCCGCTGCCACTCTGAGCTCTGGCCTCCATCAGGTCTTGGAAGTGTGGTCACTCCAGCGGGCTTAGAACACATCTGAATTCCTGCGGAAACCAAGAGGAAAGAGCTGGTTTACACTCCAGGATACTTCCCACTCTCCGCCTACCTGGATTAACTCTTGGCTTTCCACTCCCCTAGAGAAACAGGATTTGAAATGGAGTGGCTATGGAGGCTACCAGAATAGCCATATGACCAATACCATATCAAAAAGTGCAGGTTATGGAAGGATTAGACAATTCTCTAATCCTGTGTTGTGTAGTTACACAAAGCTGATCTTTGTTTCAATCACACAGGTAACGATTCCTTATTCAAATGAACATAAAATTGCAAGGTTCAGGCTCAAAGTAAAGATTGCAAGAAACTAACGTTAGACCATAACATTGCCGCCGACATACATGAAAGTTGAATACTTTTTCAAAATTGGAAATAGGTTTTTAAGTTTGTTGTGGTCATTTTTGCCTTAAACATCAATAAATGCAGCCTAGAAAGTCTTTCTTGGTTCTTATTTTGTCTGTTTTTACATCAGATACCTTTAACTATGACTTATCCAGTATTCAGGAACTTTTTAGAATACCGTAGAATGAATGTGACTTGCAAAAAAGAAAATAGTCACCCCCCAAGGAAGTTACAAATTTTACAACAGTCATGCATTATTAAGTATACAGTAGCAAAAGTTATAAATTAAAAACAAATCCATTCAAATCCTATTAAGCGCCAGCAACACAAGAAAGCAAACTTACACAATCATCAACCAGCAGCCGAATTTATTTTCAACTTCTCAACAACTTGAGGATCAAATATTTTACAGCCTGATAGCCTAGGAGAACATCTTAAATTCTGTAGCATACAGATTGTTCTGTTTTAGAAATAAATTATGTCAAAAATCTTAATGGCTTTGCCTGTTTCCAAAACCTTAATAGTTCAGGACATAAACCGACTAGTGATAACAGGAAGTGTTTCAAAAATTGGTGTCACGTCTCAAATCTATCATTCTGACAAGTAATTGCAATCCCTCTGTATATTTCAAAACTATCATCCCCTCTGGCAAGTCTACAATGAACAAAAACGGGCAAAAGTGGACCTTCATCCACTCTCCGATTTTTATAAAAGAGAGACGCAGGCAGGTGACACACGCCTCCCAACTCGGAACAAGGCAGAGCTGGAAACCGGATCTCACTTCCAACAGAAAGGCAGACAAGACAACGTTGATCTTTGCTTTCACTCCGTTTTATCGGCTCTATCGGCGTCCCAACACCGTCCCCAGCAGGTGGGACTCAGTCGGAGCCCCGGGGGACTTTTCTCCGGGGAGACTGACGCAGCCCAGGGGCTAAACTGCCCTCCCCCTGCACACAATCCGAAGACTGCCAAGCAGGAGGGGGCGGGGGGGGGGGTGCCGGCGCCTCCCTAGGGGACGTGCCTTGAAACGCTGGAGCACACTTCCCCCTCCCGACCTACGGGCTAAAATATACCCCACCCCAGAGCACTGGAGAGAGCCACTCCGCCCCCAGGCAGGGGTCACGCAGCCCACCGCAGGGCGTTCTGGCTAAGGCCCTTGAGTGTCGGGCACAGGTTTCGAGCCCTGCCGCCGAAAGCCCTGACTTACCCGCTGCCCGGACAGGTCTAACCCACGTACACTGGGCAACTCCACCACGCACTGACCGAAGGGGCATTGCCTGCGATCCGCACACCCATCTCCTTTTGGGTGGAGAGAAAAAGTGAAAGGAAAATTGCTTTATAAAAGAAGGGCAAGTCCCAGGGCCTCACTGAACAAACCGGGTCTGCAGGACGCAGATCCCTGGTCTGGAAACTTTCGCGCAGATTTGCTTGCAGTTTTAGCATCTTTGATAGGGGGGTTGGGAGGGATTTTTTTTTTTTTTTAACAAAAATGACTGCTGCCCATTTCTGGCCTCCTTCGCAGCGCACGCCACCCACCCCCCACTCCCCACTCCGAAAGTGCTTAGAAACCCCCAAGAAGAACTGTGTGTGATCAGACTAAGGATTAAGGGGAAAGGACTTCAGCACAAGGGTGGGGCAAGCACAGAAATGGCTTTGTAAAAACGCACAAGATCCCGAATTCAAAGCAGCAGCAGCGACTAAAAAGTAAATCAGCCCTTCAAAGGAAATAAAACTATCCTCTTTGGGTACCTATTTTCAGGTAATGGAAAACGATCGCGACCGCTTGATGACTTTCTTCCTGTGCTAGGTCAGCCCAATCTTCCAAAAATAAAAAAAGCGTGACCCAGGCCGACCACAGAGAACGGAAAAAAGAAAGAGCTGCTACTTCCGAAGCGTAGCCCCGGCGTCCGGCAGGGCGACGTTCCCACCCGCACCCGGCTAGCCTCGGTGCCGGGCACCCTGCCCAGTTTTCACTCGCGGGGTCTCGCTGCCCCCGTGAGGCGAGCGACCCGACCCGCGAGTCCCCGGTCCCGCTGGCGCCCCTGCCTCGGGACAGCCTCACCCAGGACCTGCCTTCCCCGGAGCGGAACAGGTTAGAAATGCGGGCGCCTACAACGGGGACCTGGAAAACACAAAGTGTTCCTCCTCCCTCTCCCGCTCTCAGCGCCGAATTCGCGGTCAATGTAGGGCCAGCAGCCGACTCGCGACGAGCGGTCCGCCACCCCAACCCCCCAGAGCGCGGGCGCGTGGGGTCCTGGGGCTGGGGACACCGTACCCGGCGCGCACTGCTGCCCCCGCCAAGGCAGGCCGAGCCTGGGGCGAGGCAGTTCCACAGGCAGCTCCCTGGATCCCCCCTGGGAACCTGCGGGGTTAGAGAAAGGGAGGCCTGAGGAAAGACAGACCCCACTCCCGGTCCGACTGCATCTACTCCATGTTGCCCACAACGCGCCGGCCACGGCGCCAGGAGGGTAAGAGCCAAACGTGCCTCACCGTGATCGCGGCTTTGCACCAACCCCTCTCCGTTGGATTCTCTTCTTCCCAGCGATGTGCAAATAAAATCCAGCCCCGATGCAAACTTTTCCCCCTTCTTCCTAACTCTGCTTCAGTCCAAGTTCCGAGCGATCGGCGGGAGGAAAAAAGGCGAGGAAAATCCCGAGCCAAGTCCCCAGCCGATGAACACTCCGGGGTTCGGGGCTGGGGGCGACCCCCCTTCTAGAAACGCACGCGGAGTATTTCCTTTTTCTCAATGAACTGGAGGCCGAAGCGCCAACGGCGAGTCTCCTTTCCTGGCAGATGAGCGAAGGAGAAAAAGAAAACGGCCTTACACAGAATCTAAGGCCAGATGGCCAAGTCGTGCGGCCGCGGCCGCGTCGGAGCGGAGGTGGCGCGGGGGCGCGGGCCGGGCCGGGCGGGCGCGGGGGCCTGGGCGCTGCGCGCTCCGCCGGCCCCTCTCCTCCGCTCGCGCTGCGCCGCGCGGCTCTCGGCGGTGCAGACTGGGCGTTGTGGAGGCGCGGCGGAGAGGCCGAGGCGGGGGCGGTGGGTGCGGAGGAGGAGGTGAAGGAGGAGGAGGAGGGTCTGGGGCCCGGCCGGGGGGGCTCGCCGTTGGCCTGCGCCCTCGCCTTTCCGGAGGAGGCAGGGAGCTCTGCGGCGGCCGCGGCAGCAGTAAATGGCGTCATGTGGATCCGAGGCGGAACAGAGCAGTTGTTGTCCCAGAGGATATATCGCATCCGGTCCCAGCTCATTGGCTCCGCGGGGCTACATTCACTCACACTTCAGCGCCCGCCAGCGCTCCGAGCCGCAGGAGGCATTCAAAAGGGCAACCGCGCCGCCCCGCGCGTCCCCGGGCCGGTCCTGCAGCCCGGGTGCCGTCACGCGGGACGCCCGCGGGGCCGGGCTGGGCACGGCGGGGTCAGTTTATCTAGTTTCAAGGAAACACTGACCTTAAGGTTCCCCAGAGGCCATGAGGACGAGCTTTAGGCTCGGACTGACTTATGGAACTTTCTCCTTGCCATTAGGAAAAAAGGGAATGAACATTTAAAACTAATCCGGGCCACGCAGTGTTAGCATTAAAACAAGTTGCAGGTTTTAAGAGTTTATTCGGAATCCATTTCAAGCCCACTTCTCCCCTTTTCTGTTCCCCCTCGAGGGGGCGACGGGGAGAGGAGAGGGGGGAGGGGAAGGGGAGCGGGAAGTGAGGTGGGAGGGCTATTGGTTTATTCTTTGTCTTCTGGATTAACCCGATTATACACCAGGCACCAGCACAAACCGCCTCCCCCACCTCACAGCCCTGTAGGAGAGGAACGGAATGCAGATTCGGGTTTCAAGTACTTTATGCTCTGGCCGATATTTGCTTTTAATTGTGTCGCTCTGTAGTTTTTGTTTTAATATTAGATTTTTTTTCAAGAATTAGCTATAGATGGAGGCTTTTTGAAGATCTTTCTGTTTTGTTTGACGCAGTAGGTGAAGGAAATTCTACAGTCTATGCCTTTTAAAAATTATTTAATTCAATAACACATACAGGATAACTCAAGGTCGACATGACGGGCTTCTGAAACGGGAGGGGGCTCACTGTTCCACTGCAGATTTCCTTCACTCAACCAGAAGTCATCATTTCCGACTCCTCTTTGTCACCTAGAACGTATCCCAAAAAGATCCTATTGTACATTTTGAAGGTGGTCTGTATTTTCCCACTTAAAAAAGTAGAAACATAAAGATAGAAAACGCGTAGATAACCATTGCTCTAACTGCCGTTCATTTACTAAGAAACGTGCTTGCACGTGGGAGCACCGGTGGGAAATTACCGCCCCCCCCCCCAGACACTCCTGTTACTGGATTCTAATAATTTACAGAATGTTTTTACTTTACAGGGAAGTACGGTTAAATCTCCCGAATAGCACCTGCCCCCGTGAGGGGTTAGAATTCTTGAAATAATGCTAGGAAAACGTGGTGCTTGATTCCCCGGGTCCCGCTCCAGCTCACATCCGTTCGTAGCTACCCTGGCACTCGCTGCCTTCTCCCGAGCTCTAGCTCTAGAATGTCCCGGGCGCGCTCCCCACTGCGCTGCGCTCTCGCCCTCATTCTCCATGTTTCTCTAGGG